CCCCCCCCCCCCCCCCCCCCCCCCCCTCCTTTCATGTTCCCTCAAAGCGCCAAGGGGAAGTTTCTCCAGCCTGCGTACATGCATATGCATGATGCGCCTCCGTACCTGCAAGTCTGATAAGGATGTGTCCCAAGTCATACCCCCCTCCCTTTTAGCTGCCCGGTCGATCGTGATTCATGGCAGTATTGTTCTACCTGTATATCCCCATCCCTTGGGAACACAACGCGAGTGATGTGAGAGACAAGACAAATCAGGAAAGGAAAAGGCATGCTTCAGCTAGCACAAAGGTCAACCAGGCCAGAAGCGCAGACGCACTCCATACCCTTTGCGGCTCTGGGATGGGAACAGAACAATACCTACATGGTCAGGTATTCAGTCCCAAGCCTAATGCTAATGCCTGCTCACACAAGCACCCCCTACTCCGAGGCCAGGTAAATGCTCCGATTTTTATGCATCTCCCGTTTTCGCCTCCCCCCGGTTCGGAGTACCTGGTCCTAGCTCCCATGACTCCCGTACTGCGGTACGAGTACTCGTACTTGCTTGTATGTAATACTTGGCCGTGGCATTGTCTTCCCTCTGTCTCCTCCTTTGTTGCTCACTCACACATGCATCCGCATATTGCGTCGCCAGATTACCATGCGTTTTTGCGTCATGCGGCAGAGACAGATGACCGCTTCCTTGATACGCATGCCCGCACTCTTTGGTGGAATGTCATTAACTGGAAAGACGTGTCCGCGTTGATGAAACTAAATCGATGACCAGTTGGAGAACTCTAAGCAGCTTTAGTAGATGGTCTAGAACTCTCGAGCCCACAATTGAAGCTTGTTCTGGGCATTGCTGAGTGCCAAGGTAATAGAGTAGAGAGGTAGGTACTGACTGTACTGCCATACTGTACCTGTCCAACTACTCCATATTATTCCCTTGGTACAAGTACGAGCACATGTGAGAGGACAAGACAGACCCTCACTTGAGCGTCAATGTACAAGCATAGCGCAGTAGTAGTAGTAGGCAGTAGTGGCAGTAGATTGATGAGATGCTCCATCATGGCATGCCGCGAACAAGGTCTGACTGCAAGCCGCACCTTTTCTTACATCTGTTTGAATGGGGAGCTGAAAAGCCAAAGCATGGGGTAGGGGACCCCTAAAAAGGCCTCACGGGTGCTGGTGCAGACAAATCGGCTGGCTGGTACGAGGTACGAGTATGCTTCTTCGGAATTTTAGCACGTCTTTTTAGATTTCAGGTGATGTACTAGCCGCACAAGCTTACCGGCGAGGCCTTGTGTCTCTTTTTCTTTCCTCATCGAGTCATGGGTAGATGCCTTTGATGGAGCTGAACTCGAAGTGTG